GAGGCATCCCAGGGACTGAATCTTTAGGGCCAGGAGCCTCACTGAGAAGGCCGCCAGCAAGTCCTGTCTCGTTTCTTGCCAGGAAGCCAAGCTGTCAAGTACGTTATGATATTTCATCTTGCTGGTAATAGAGCATATTTCTCCTGATTACCAAAGTAACACATGTTCATTACCGAAAACGGGAAAACACAGGGAAAGAAAAAGAAGGAATTACAAACCCTGCTAAGTTATGCCATCGTTCAGAGATAACTACCGCTAGCATTTGTGCCTATATTTGGAAAGTAAAACTTGGATCTTGCTCGACACACACTATTTTATAATTTCCTTTTCACTTAAAAAGAGAAGGGGAATACTTTACCATTGTCGTTAAATAGTCTCCCAACCATTAAGTTTATGACTATATCGTATTCCCCGTTATTACCGGGCCACCGTAGGTCAATTAGCTTAATTTCCTTGGGGAAATAGAAAGTTTCCGTGACATCAGTTAATTCATCTGTTCCTTTGACACGTGTTTGCTGGACACTTACAACGGGCAGCAGGGAAGAACCTGATGCCGTCCCTGTCTCCGCTCCACGCGGACGCTCTCTTGCTGGGCCGTGTCTGGCCCGAGGCGGACGGTCCCCAGTTCTAAGTGCGGCCCCCGTAGCCTGCGAAGATTGTCCCCCCTTGTACCCGTTTGAACTCTACTCCAAACAGGTGTTGCCAATAACGAGAGAGATGAGCCTTATTCTTCTATGTGTTTTTAGAAAATCATGAAAACATTGCCGCAAAAAAAATTAATACAAAGCAGCGTGATGATTCACCCACCAGCAGAGTTTGCACTTCCGACTCTCCCGCAGCTGCCTCCCTGAGGAAGCGCAGTGTGCTTCTCATTAGCGGAGCTTTTGAAGAGGAGGCTGAGCTCTGGGCTTCCCGGGACGAGAGGACGGTGGCCTGCGGGCCAGCCCTGTGCCTGGAAGGCCGAGGCGCCCATGGCCTGCCGGGCAGCCAGGGTGGGGTGGGCTGGGGGTGGGGACGGAGCACAAAAGCTGCTCCTCCCCACTGACCGCCTCTCGCCAGTCTCACGGACCAGATGGGACGGTTTCTGGTCACCATATTACCTGGATGAAACGGTTGGAAGTGTCCCACTTCTGGAGGCCGCACCATTTCCCCCGGTGCTGCCTGGACGCATCTGGGACTGGGCTCTGGGTCCAGAGACCTGGGTTTGAATCCTGGCTTCACCTGTCCCCAGTTGGGCACCTGGGGCATGTCTGAGCCTCAACTGCTACATCTGAGACACGGACATGTCACCTCCCCTACAGGACCGTAGTGAGATTTAAGTGACAGGGAGGTGCCTTGAGATGCTTCTTTCTTCTTGCTGCTCTTCCCCCTCTTGTCTGCTGTAGATCACTTCTTTGGATAAGTCTTTCCTTTGCCAACCTCTGGGGCTTTGTCCTCTTGCCTTGGTTTGACCCTCTCAACCCTCCAGAAGCAGACCCTGAGGCCAGTATTGGAGGGAGGTGGTGCATTTGGGAAGTTATCGTGGAAGCATGTGGCATAGACAGGTGACCCGGGAAATGTCACCACTGGGGCTGCTGGGCCCTGTCTCCCGGGGACCCAGGAAACACTAGCCTGAGGCATCCCCCCTGAGAAGTGAGGTTGCTGGGGGCTTTCTGCACCACCTGCTGCCAGTCACAGGTTGGGTGCTGTCCTCAGGGCCCCATTCCTCCCTCCTCACAAAGGGAGCAGTCGGAAGTCCCCATGGTTTGCACAGCCCATGGCTTAGGCTTGGATGTGCCTGGGTGGGTATTGGGACGCCAGTGTGTTGATCTAGGAATTTACAGCTGCATAAAGATAGCTCACGGTGAGGACCATTTAAGGGTTCCAAGGCCACCCTAGTGGCCTGGAGAGGCAAGGTCCTCGGGTGGGGTCCTCAGAGCCTCAGCCTGAGTCCAGGCAAGGTGCCTCCCTTCTGACTTGCTTTCAGGGGTGGGTGTGGGTGGCCACTGTGACCTGCTCACCTTGTCCCTGGAGCATCTGCCACCGAGCACAGGATGCTCCTGCTGGATTCCGCCTCCCAGAGTGCTAGGATTACAGGTGTAAGCCACCACGCCTGGCCTTTTTTTTTTTTGAGACGGAGTCTCACTGTATTGCCCAGGCTAGAGTGCTGTGGCGTCAGCCTAGCTCACAGCAACCTCGAACTCCTGGGCTCAAGCGATCCTGCTGCCTCAGCTTCCTGAGTTGCTGGGACTACAGGTATGTGCCACCATGCCCAGCTAATTTTTTCTATATATTTTTAGTTGGCCAATTAATTTTTTTCTATTTTTAGTAGAGACAGGGTCTCACTCTTGCTCAGGCTGGTTTCAAATTCCTGACCTTTAGCCATCTACCTGCCTCGGCATCCCAGAGTGCTAGGATTACAGGCGCGAGCCACCGCGCCCGGTCAAGTTTCTAACCTTGATGGCGACACGGGCTGGTGTGTGAGCGGCACTCACCGTTTGCCACCCGCCATGCAGCGTCTCACACGCATCACTGAATTAATCCTCACAGCAGCGCCCCGAGGTGCGTCCTGTCATCTTCATCCTTGTTTGGCAGGTGAGCACAGCCAGGTTCAGGGAATCCGAGTACCTTGCTGAGGCCTCCCAGAACCTGTCCCCTATCCCTTCTCAGTGCTGCCTCCTCTGGAGAGCTTGTCACCTGGGGCACAGTGGCTGGGGACAGGGACAGGCCCTCCCCCAGACTTCGCTGCACAGGGAGGTTTCCTGGGTCTCCAAGCCCGCAGGCTGCAGGCGGGGGCTGTCCTTCCAGCTGCTGTGGATCTACCCCAGGCCACTTGGCACTGTGGCCTGGGTGGGGGCTGGACCATCCCTGTTGGGGAAGGGGTCAGGGGTCAGGGGGTCACTCCCGGGTGGCCTCAGACCATACTCAGCAGTGGGAGCAGTGAGAAGGACCATAGTCAGACACCTTCACAAGTGTTCTGAGCAGCCTGGTGTCCCACCAGCTGTGGGGTAGCGCCGGTGTCACCTCTCTGGGCTTGCTCCTGTGGCCTCAGCTTCCCCCAGGCTGGGGTGGCCCGGGAACAGGGTGCTGAACTGTGGCCTGCAGCTTGCTTCTCTCTGGAAGCCCAGCAGCCCCGGAGGGTATTTGCAAGAGCGTGCCTAGAGAAACATGAATGTTTGGAAAGTAAACAGTTTGATGCAGAGCACACTGGGTCAAGTCATGGGAAAGTGGCAAGTCACGGCACAAGAATGTCTGTGCATGGAAGCTGCACAGGGACAGGGCGAGATCTAAATGCAGCACTACAGACCCTGCCTTGACCCTGAGCTCCCACGAAAATCCATCAGGCATGTGGTCACCGTGGAGCACAGCTTCATGATGGGAAAAGGGCAGTGACACTTGTGGAGGGTGTTTTGCAGTGCCCCACTCCCTGGGACAGGAAGCTTCAGAGGCCAAGGGTGGAGCAAAGAAAAGAAGCTCCTTAGAGTCTGGACTCAGACCTGAGGTCAGATCCCAATGTAGCCACTGGACAAGCTACTTTCCATCTCTGAGCCTCAGTTTCCTGATCTGGAGAATGGGGTGATAGTTGTACCTTACAGGGTACAGTTGGCCCAAGGCTAGAAGGAAAGTTGCAAGTGAATTGTGTACACAGTGCTAAACTCACTAGGGTTAGAAATTTTTTTTGTAATAGATTATTTGGATTATCTATATAGATAATTATGTCGTCTGTAAATGGGTAGTTTCATTTCTTTCCAATATGTATGCCTTTTAATTCTTTTTCTCGCCTTCTTGTGCTACTGGGACATGTATGATATAGGATAGGAGTGATAAGAGTGACACCTTTGTCTTATTTATTTGAGGGGAAAGCATTCGCTATTGCACCATTAAGTAGGATGTTAGGGACAGGTTTTCTGTATTTGCCCTTTATCAAGTTAAGGAATTTCCCTTCTATTCCTAGTTTGCTATGAGTTTTTTTTTGCCCAGGCTAGAGTGAGTGCTGTGGCATCAACCTAGCTCACAGCAACCTCAAACTCCTGGGCTCAAGCCATCCTTCTGCCTCAGCCTCCCGAGTAGATGGGACTACAGGCATGTGCCACCCTGCCCAGCTAGTTTTTTCTATATATATTAGTTGGCCAATTAATTTCTTTCTATTTATAGTAGAGACGGTGTCTCGCTCTTGCTCAGGCTGGTTTTGAACTCCTGATCTTGAGTAATCCGCCCGCCTGGGCCTCCCAGAGTGCTGGGATTACAGGCGTGAGCCACCGCGCCTGGCTGAGGTTTTTTAATAAAGTCATAAATGGATGCTGAACCTTGTCAAATGGTTTTTCTGCATTAATAGATGTTGTATTAGCTTGTTAGGACTGCTATCACAAAGTATCCCTGGGCAGCTTAAACAACAGAAAATTATTTTCTCCCAATTATGGAGTCTGGCAGTCTTTTTTTTTTTTTTTTTGAGACAGATTCTCACTGTATTGCCCAGGCTAGGGTGTGGTGGCATCAGCCTAGCTCACAGCAACCTCAGTCTCCTGGGCTCAAGCGATCCTCCTGCCTCAGCCTCCTGAGTAGCTGGGACTACAGGCATGCGCCACCATGCCCGGCTAATTTTTTCTATATATTTTTAGTTGGCCAATTAATTTCTTTGTATGTTTAGTAGAGACGGGGTCTCGCTCTTGCTCAGGCTGGTCTCGAACTCCTGACCTCAAGCGATCCTCCTGCCTCGGCCTCCCAGAGTGCCAGGATTACGGGTGTGAGCCACTGCGCCCGGCCGAGGCTGGAAGTCTGGGATCAAGGTGTTCACGGGGCTGTTTCCTCTGCAGACTCACTCCCCGTTTATAGCTGGCCATATTTTCCCCATGTCTTCACATGGTCTCCCCTCTGGGTGTGTCTGTGTCCCCCATAGACTGAATGTTTGCGTCCCCCAAAATTCATATGTTGAAGTCCTAACCTCCAATGTGATGGTATTATGTTGAGGGAAGATGATTAAAAAATTAATGAGATGTGGCTCATAAGATCATTATTTTATTGTATCGCCCAATATTGTTATATTAAAGACAAAAGCAAGAGTTTACAGGGTTTTGCCCAGAAAAAATATGTAAACTCGTTAGTTTGCATATCAAGGGCCACATGGCCTTGGGGGGCTCTCAAAGCTCCCGTGCAGATGCGTTCCTTGAGGCTCCTGTCATCTCAGGTCTGTGACGCCTCCCTGATCCTGAAAGACAAGACAGGTAAATACCTGGGTCATGGGATGGGAGCCGGAACTGCGCGCCCCAGCCCAGAGACTCACCCCTATGTTATAAACCGTTTAAAATATAGTTAGGCTTCCTGCTTTGACTATCTGCCTCAAATCGGCAATAACTAAATAAAAAAAAATATAAAGCCACTATATCTCTGTGTTACTCCTCTGTCAATTAATAGCTATCTCTTAAAACTTAAAAGTTAGTCCTTAAAAAATTTTATAACTGCTTATTCACATAAATAAAATAAGTTGAAAATTGTTAAAAGCCCTTTAAAAACACTGTTAACCCAAACCAAAACTACCTCTTGATATATAAATCTGTTACCCATAACAACCACACTACCTATCACTATATAAATCTGTTACCCTGGCAACTAATAATTGATATCTATGATTATAAAAACCCATATAAATCTAACCTCAAGGCTCTTCTATTAACAAAGATATACAAAAAAAAAAAACTCCTAAATACCCTCACTTTATCCTAATTTATTTATATAAACCTATAAAACTCTACCTTCATCTCTATATATTCTTTTATTCTATTTCCTATTAATTTCTTATCTTCGATAGCAACTACTACCTAAGGGACCTGGTTTTTCACAAAATAAAAAACAACCAAAAAACAACTGATCTTCCCACGGCCTGCCCCGCAGTATTGGGAGGTGGGGCATTTCGGAGGTGATTGATTAGATCAATGCATGGGGTGTGTGCGGGGGAAGACCCTTATAATAAGGAGCCAGAGAGCTAGCTTGTCTTTTTTCCAGCACATGAAGATGCAGAGAGAGGTCAGTTGTCTGCTAGCTGGAGAGAGAGCCCTCGACAAAGCCCACCTGTGCTGGCACGCCCATCTCTGACTTTCAGCCTGCAGAACTGAGACATGCACCTGTTCAAGCCACCTAGTCTCTGGTCATTTGTTATAGCAACCTGAACTAAGACAGTGGCCAAGTTTCTTCTTCTTTTCCAGTAGGACACCAGTTATGTTGGATTAGGGCCCACCATAATGCCATCATTTAACTGAGTTACCTCTTCAAAGACCGTCTCTCCAAATACAGTCATATTCTGAGGTCCTGGGGCGTTAGGAACTCAACGTGTGAATTCTGGGGGAGAAACAGTTAAGTCCACAACAGATATGCTCATGTAACTTTTCTTGTGCAGACTGCTGATACGGTGGATTCCATTGATTTATTTCCAAATATCAATGCAGGCTTGCATTCCCAGGATAAATTGTCCTTTCGGTCATGATATATAATTATTTTTACATATTACTGGGTTTAACTGGATAATATGTTGCTGAGGACTTTTGCATCTATATTCATGAGGGATTTGGGTTTGTATTTTTCTTTTCGTGCATTGTTGCCGTCTGGTTTTGATTGCAGAGTAATGCTGGCATCCGAACATGAGTTGGGAAATGTTCTCTCTGCTTCTATTTCCTGGATGGAAGTGATTGTGTAGAATTAGGGTTGTTTATTTTTCATGATGCTTTGTAGAATTCACAGTGAAACCATCTGTGCCTGAAAATTTCTTTTTTGTAAGGTTTTTTTTTTTTTAATTTCACATTCAATTTCTTTAATAGTTATAGGACTATTCAGATGACTATTTCATCTTGGATGAATTTTAGTAGTTCTTTTTCTTAGGAATTGCTCTGTTTCATCATGGCCAATTCTATGTGCACAGAGTTGCTCACAGCTTTCCTCTAGTATCATTTTAATGCCCATAGAGTTTGCAACGTTCTTTCATTCCCGATACGAATAATTTGTGTCTTTTCTCTTTTTTAATTTATCAGTCTTGCTAGAGGTTTATCAATTTTATTCATCTTTTCAGAGAACAAGCTTTTGGTTTCATTCATTTTTCTTTCTTGATTTTACGCTGTCAATTTCACTGGTTTCTGTTATCTCTATGGTTTTTGCCTTCTGCTTGCTTTGAGTTTGTCATTCTTTTTCCAGTTTCATAAGATGGAATTAAATTATTGGTTTGAGACCTTTCTAATAGCAGCTTTAATGTCTTTTTTTGCTCTACCTTCTCTGTTATTTCTGGGTCTGTTTCCATTGAATAATTTTTATTGTGGTCTAGGAGCACATTTCCCTGCTTCTTTGTATTGGTGATAATTTTTCCTTTTTTTGAGACAGAGTCTCACTTTGTTGCCCAGGCTAGAGTGAGTGCCGTGGCGTCAGCCTGGCTCACAGCAACCTCAATCTCCTGGGCTCAAGTGATCCTACTGCCTCAGCCTCCCGAGTAGCTGGGACTACAGGCATGCGCCACCATGCCCGGCTAATTTTTTGTATATATATATTTTAGTTGGTCAATTAATTTATTTCCATTTTTGGTAGAGACAGGGTCTCGCTCAGGCTGGTTTCGAACTCCTGACCTTGAGCAATCCGCCCACCTCGGCCTCCCAAAGTGCTAGGATTACAGGCGTCAGCCACCACGCCCGGCCTGGTGATAATTTTTGATTGGATAATAGGCTTTGTGAATTTTATACAGAGTTCTGGTATTTTGTTGTTGTTCAGTCTATAGAGACTGTCAAAAATTGCCAATGCCAACTATATTCCAAGTCATCATGGTGGGGTATGGAGAAAAGTTTTCAATTAGCAATAATCACATCTCGGGTAAACCGCATTGGCTGCGAGACTGCCATTGCACAAAGCCGAGAGTGCTGGATTTTGGGGTATTCCTTTCCACAGTGTTGAACTTTTTCAGACAGGTGGTTAAGTTACTTGTTAAGTTTGATCCTTTGAGGTTTGTTTTTAGGATTTTTAGTCAGGTATCAAATATCCTTTATACTAAGGCTACTTTAACCCCTAATTTTAAAGAATGCCCCTTCGGCATTCTCTACCGAACACCCTGTGTGTTGAGTGATGTCTCTCCACTCTGTCTGAAGGGAACGAGATCAATTCTGGGCCTGTGTGAGCTCTTGGGATTGTCCATTCAAAGTTCTCCGGTGATGGCTCTTTCCTCAGAAGCTGCTCTTGGATTTTTGTGGGTGTCACCCTGTTCACGCCTAGATCTGTGTTCAGTTGGACTAGGGCCAGGGATGAGGAAGGAGCACTGGGTTCTGGGGGGTGGCAGAGGGTGGGAGAAGGATGGGACACGCCGGGGAGGAGAGGGAAGTCCCTCCTGCCCATTCAGGTGGGCTCAACTGGCTCCATGGGAGATTTTGGAGACAATTGAAGGATCGTTTGGCCTCAACCTCTGGACTACTGTGTGTGTTTAACAGCCCAATAGGAAACTCTGGGGGGCACAGTCTCTTCCTTGCAAGGCCTAGCAAGGGATTCTGCACTCACTCCCTGCAGAGTCACGGGAGGGGTTCTCCGTGCCCAACTGCGAGCCAGCTCAGCCAGGCACTGGGACGTGAGATGAGTGTGGCTTGGTTCCTGTCCTCGGGGAGCTCAGATATGCAGCACCGTGTCAGTCCCATATTTTATGAGTCCTGGGCGTGATCAGTGCATGGAGCATTGCTGAGCTTGGCTGGGCTCCCCTCTCTAGCGCCTTGGGAGTATCTCAAACATGGGGACTGGCACTCCTGCTGCCACATCTTATTAATAAGTTTAATTAACCCAGAGCAGCATTTGCCAACATTCATTCCAGACCGGGAGCATGAAGTGAAATGTGCTGGCAAATTCCAGCCTCACGAGGCTCTTCCAGGTTGCTCTCCAAGGCCAAAACTGGGTAGAGTCTACACTCTGGGGTTTCCCAGCTGGAGACGCGTACCTGCCGGCCACCGCTCGTGCAGGCGCACCGATTTGCAGGAGGCAGGGCTGCCTTAACGTCTCCTTGCAGAGATGTCACTGTGCCCTTTCTTGGAAGTGTTTGTGGCTCTCTGCTCTGACCCTCCACGCCGAGGCCTGGTACAGACCTGCACGCGGGTGTTTCCAGCCTAAATCCCAGGCAGATGCAACATCCTGCCTTCCTGTAACCCAAACGAGCCACGGCGAGGGACAGACAGAACTGCTTGGCAAGGCTCTGCCTGTGTTTCCCCTGGCTGCCCAGCCCGGCTCCGTGTACCAGGAGAGACGGAAACAGTGCCCGTGGCAACCGAGAGTGTTGGCTACCGTTCCATCTCACATGGAACCTTCCCAGCAGTCTTCTAGCAGACTTGACCAAGTAGTTCTGGAAACTTATCTCAGGTCCCCTCTGGGCAAAATCATGGAGCCCTCCAAGGGGAACTGGGTCTCTAGAGACTGCTTTGCCTCTGGAGTGGCCCGGACCTCTCTCTGTGGCTGTGGGGAGTGCAGAGAAGTGATGGGCTGCATCCATGAGTGGGGAGTGAGGTCTCGGCAGGCAGAGGAGAGGTCAATGTCAAATGCGTGATGCAGAAGGGAAGGGCCGTGTCGCTCTCTGGAATCCACCAGGGAGTGACTGGTCCAGCCGGGCCGTGCAGGCTGCAGACCACCTCCCAGCTCAGTGACCCAGCCCGGGCCACCCTGCGCTCTCCGAACCTCACCTCTGAGCAAACACTGGGCACCTGCTCTGGGTTCTGTTTGGGATTCCGAGTGAGGCAGGGTGCAGAGCCGACAGTCAGTGAGCACGGGCAGTTAGCGCCTGACTCAGCTGAAGGCTGATTCAGGCCGATTCAGTTAACTCTTGATTTTGGGTACCCGAAACCCAGCTCACACTGGCTTACACAGTGTGTATGAGCGAATAAAAAGTAAATGAAGAAGGCATTTATTGATTTATGTCACGGGACTGTCCAAGCAGCGATTGCTCCCATGTCACCGGGGCTTGGTTTCTCTCGTCCGCCTCTTTTCTTGCACGTGCTGCCCGATTTCTCAGGCTGTGTGTGTGGGCAAGGTGGCTGCCAGCAGCGCCAGGCTCAAAACTATCCCTGGTTCAAGTACAGCAGAAAGCAGAGAAGGCCTCCGCCTGGCAGTTCCTCAAACGGTTAAATATAGAGTTACCACAAGACCCACATCCCACAACTAGATATGTGTCCAAGAGAATTGAGAACATACGTCCACACAAAACTTGCACACGAATGTTCACAGCAGTATATAATTTACGGTCAAAAAGTAGAAGCAACTCAAATATCCAGCCACTGATAAATGGATAAGGAAAATGTGTTATATCCATACAATGCAATATTATTTGGCAACGGAAGGAATGAAATAGTTCCATCCACAGGGATCTCATGGTAAGGGGGCAGAGAGAAGGAATTTTAAACAAATGACATTGTCCAGGGAACAGTGGGCATATGTCCCATCTGGGTGGCCCATTCTCTCCCTTCCTGATAAGCAGGAATCTAGGGTCTGGTATGGAACGAAGGTCTGGAGACAGGGCCTGGGCTGGGAGTGGAGGTCTGCAGAGTACAGAATGAGGGAGGGGACCGTGATCAGAGAGGCAGGACCCAGGGGCTAAACTGAAATGCGAAGAGGAGAAGACACAGCCCAGTAGGTTGTCCATCTGTTGAGCTGAGCCGAGGTAAACCTGGCACCAACAGCAGGAGATGAGCCAGGGATGCCAGGCCTGGGCAGAGAGGTCCAGGTTGGAGAACAGGGTCAGAGCTGACTCCCGTGGGACCACTGGCTGTGCAGGGGTGGGGGGATGCAGATGGGGCACCAGATGTGGGGTCTCCCTGGAGGATCTTGCCTCATTGCATAGGAGGCAAGAAACAGAGAGATGCTGTCCCCTTGGAGTAAATGGAGTGAAGACAAAGGAGAAGCTCACTCTGGTTGGGATGATCAGGAGATGGTTCAGGAGGGAGAAGATTGGAGCAGGCTCTTGAAAGATCTGTAGACATTTGGCAGTCAGGAAGGTGGTGGAAGGCCATCCTGAACAGGGACACAGCTTGAAGAAAGCAGAGTGTTGAGAAGGCACTGGGAAGGGCGGGCATGGAGTCTTCACACCAGACGGGGAGAGTGAGGAAGTATTTGCACTGGGATGGAGAGTGCAGTGAGAAGCACAGTGGCCTGAGAAGGGAACCACAGAGCTCCAAGTGTGAGAAATGGGGCCTGGGCTTGAGTGAGCTGATTCCTGGTGTCCAGGCCAGAGGGGCTGCCTGAGATACCAATATGGGGGTGGAGAGTAGGGGCAGGGGGCATGGAAGCCCAGCCCTGCCAGCATTCACCATGGTGGAGCCAGGGTCTTAAGGCAGGGCCTAGGGTCCCCTTGGAGGGGGCCGCGGTGGTGGGAAGCCACACATGCACAGCGGGTGAATGCAGAAAGTGGCGAGTAGCAGGACCAGCCTGCCTGGGCCACCGGGCACAGAGCCAGCCCTCATCACAGGAGGGGCCAGCCTGAGCGAGGGCAGCCGGCTGTGGAAGGCTCCAGCTTGGGGCTGCTGGACCACTGTGGCCAGAGCATCCCCAGCCCCGGACAGGGCCTGGCCCCGAGGGTGCTGGATAAAACACGGCATGTCTAGAAGGACGAGTGCAGCTGGAAACAGGAAACCCTGATGGAGCCAGGCTGCTGGGATTTACATCTGAGAACCCAGAGCTGACACACAGATGTCCCTGTGTAACTCCAGGACCGTGTGCGGAGAGCAGCCCAGGCTAGAGGAGCTGAGCCCAGCTTGCACGCGGTACTTGTCCCTGAGGTCAGGCTGGGGTGGTCGCCGCCTCCGTGGTTGGGCCACACCTGCCAGGATGCAAATAAAGACCAAGGAGGTTTATTTTCCTCCTGACTGGGGCTGGGGCTCCAGCGGTTTACCTTGCCCTAACTCAGCTGCTGCGCACCTTGGTGCAGATGAAAGAGGACAATGCATCAGGCCTTAACGAGCTGCAGGGGCTGCAGGCGCCTGGTCCGGTCTGGCCTCCTGTCCCCGTCCGGCCCAGCCCCGCAGCCTCGCTGGCTGGGGATCAAACGCACCCAGACACGCAGGGAGCAGAGCTGCGGCCGGGGCTCCTCCGTGCACACCCCGAGCGCGACGGCGAGCTGGGCTGGGCCAGACGCAGGCCGCAAATCAACGCATCAACGCGGTAAGCTGCCTCCTGCCTGGGAGGTAAGGTTGTTCTGTGAACACAGGTTCTTTTCCCAGCAGGAGGGAATGGCTTTCCCATTTTCACCCTCCTCCGCATCCCTGAGGCTCCAGACGCTCTGCAGGCCTGGTGGAGGGGAGGAGTTGGAGATGTCTCTTTTGGTCATGGCAGCATTTGGGGGCTGCCAGTGGCAGGCTGGGCCTTGGCGTTGGCTCTGGGCCCGCAGCACTGGGCTTTGTGTGGGGTCAGGTCTGAAAGTCCTGCTCCCACCGGGCCCGCAGCCCACGCCTCTCCCAGCTCGGAGGCGGACGGGGGGGCCTCTGGGGACCTTCACAGCCAGGTGTGCGGCTGGCCGACGGCAACACGGGCTCGGTTGCTTTTGTTTGTCCACAGAGTGTCGGAAGGCTCCTCCGTGCGCTTGACTGCTGCACCAGCCCAGCTTTGCAAGGGGAGGCGGGGAGTTTGTGTCTGCGGGTTTGGCTCTGGGAGGGGGACTGTTGGCCTGTAAATCTGGGGCAGGGTCAGCAGTGGAAGGCAGGGACTCTCTGGCAGGTGGGGACGGGCTGGGCAGAGAGGACAGGCAGATGTGGGCCCAGGCGCTGCTGTGCTTTGCACTGAGAGTTGTTAGAGGAATCTCCCTCATGAGGGTGTGGACGGGGTTGGCGCCACCTGGCAGATACCTGGGCTTTGCAGGTGAGCGGTCAGACCAGAGGGGACACCAGCTCAGGGAAGGGCCCCAGGTTCCCCGAGCTTCATCAGGGCCAGAGCCCGGGAGGCCAGAGGGACGTCTCGGGCTGCCCTGGGGAGCCGTGTGCAGTCTTGGTGCAAGAGCAGATTCGGGGCGCATTCTGGCTCTGCTATATAACTGGCAAGTGGCCCCGGCGCCTTGAGATTCAATGTCCCTATCGCAGGCTTATGGAAGATTAATAACAGTACCTCCCGGCTCTTGAGTACCTGCTGTGTGCCATCACCGCACATCGGGAGGTGGGCACGGCCTCATCGCGGAGGAGTCTGACGGGGCTTGGGAGGCCTGCAGTCTGCACCTGGTCTGTCTGGCTTCAAGTCGAGGCTCTGTCCCCCGCGCTGCGTGGCTCTGCGCTTGGCACATAGCAGGTGCTCAGTGAACGTTAGCACGCTCTCTCCCTCTTCTTCCCTCCTCAGAGCCTGCCTCTCTTTCCTCTGCCCTCTGGTTACGTTCAGTTCCGTGCATGTTTCCGGGGCCTGGTCTGTGCGCAGCTGAGCCCGGGCTGGGTCTGCCTCCCTCTCCGCGGGGCGGTGCTGTCCCGGAAGTGCTCCCTGCCCAGCAGCCGCCTCTCCCCCCGTGGGTGTGGCTGCCTGGTGAGTTCTTGCAACAGAATGTGAGTGGAAAGAAATCACATCATAGGGGACGTGGTTAGCAACTGGGTGTGCCATCTCCGTAGAGAGGGCTCTAAGGGCTGAGGGGAGGTGGGGCCGTGGGGTAGACAGAGCCTGGTTCCTGAGCAAGCCCGGGGAAGGCTGCCTGGCCAGCAACAGGGAAGCCGGACGTGACCCGAGACCTCAGCTGCTACTGTGTTGAGCCTCTGAGATTCTGGGCTTATCTGTGACTGCAGCTAGCGCCTTCTCCTTAACTACTGGGGGCCCCAGAGATGGCTAATGGAGGCCTCTCCCTCCCTCTGCAGGCCATGGGGGTAGGAGGAGGTAAGGCCTTTGCAGAGAGCTGTGACTCAGACTGGATGAGAGCCTCATGCAGGGGGACAGGGCATGGGGGAGCCAGAGGAGGGAGAGTTTTTGTTTTTGTTTTGAGACAGAGTCTCACTTTGTTGCCCAGGCTAGAGTGAGTGCTGTGGCATCAGCCTAGCTCACAGCAACCTCAATCTCCTGGGCTCAAGCAATCCTGCTGCCTCAGCCTCCCGAGTAGCTGGGACTACAGGCATGTGCCACCATGCCTGGCTAACTTTTTCTATATATATTAGTTGGCCAATTAGTTTCTTTCTATTTATAGTAGAGACGGGGTCTCGGTCTTGCTCAGGCTGGTTTCGAACTCCTGACCTCGAGCAATCCACCTGCCTTGGCCTCCCAGAGAGCTAGGATTACAGGCATGAGCCACAGTGCCTGGCCGGAGGGAGAGTTTTGATGGGAGATCAGGGAAGAATTCACAGAGGTACCGCCAGGAAGAGGACATTTCAGAGTGGCTAAGGGAGAGGAAGAGAGCCCCACCTGCAAGCTGAGGCCCAGGTGATATGTCTGAGGACCTGGGGGAGTGCAAGGTCATGCAAGACTGAAGAGGATGGACTTGATTTGGTAGGTGGTGGGAGCCACAGAGTGTTAGCGAGGGAGAGCATGACAGATACCCTGTGCTTTAGGCAGGTCGTCCCAGTTGCTATGTAGTGGCTGGCTGGAACAGGAGATGTTGTTATAGATGTGGGCAACCAGAGGGGTGTGGGTGACGGAGGGAGGGGCCCTGAGAAGGTGGCATCTCAGGACCCAGAGACAGGAGAGGCAGTGAGCCAGGGGAGGCAGCAGTGTGGGCGCCCCCTCCCCTCTTCCAGGTGTGCCCTGGTCATGGGGTGGCACCCTGCGCAGAGACAGGGAGCCCAGGGAAGGAACAACAGGATGCTGGGAGACAGTGCCAGAGCGTGTTGACTCCAGGTGGACCAATGGCCCTGCCTGTGGTCTGAGGCCGGGTCCCGAGAATCAGCCCCAGGGCTCTGCCCTTCTCTTTGGTGTGGTCTAGAGCTCGTCACTGCCGGGGGCAAGTGCCTTGGGGTGCGCTGGGTACTGGAGGGTCCCCAGGATGCCTGTGGTGGCCCGGCCTATGCATCCTGCCCCACAGGGGCCTGGTGGATACTGTGTGGAGCTGATGGTGGCCTGGGGACGGCGCCGCTCTGCAGAGGCTGAACGTGCAGGACCACACGGTAAAGAAGAGTGATGCTGTAAGCACATGCATTCGAAGAGCTCATCGTTTCAGAATTTGCTTCGATTTTCTGCACTTAGAGAAATCTGCCTTGCAAACAGGTTTCAAAAATAATCCCTCTCCCAGATCTGTGTGCTGCTCACCATCTGCAGGGACAGGGTGTGGACGTGTGTGCGTGGCCTGCGGGTCCAAGCCTGGGGCAGGACGGGAGAGGACGGGCTTGGATCACAACGGGAGGGATGAGGCAGGACGCGGAGAGCTCTGTGGCTGGCTGCGGGAGGGCCATGGCACCAGCCGCGGTCAGCGGGCGGAGGAGATGCCGTGGGTGCCCAAAGCCTGACGCCAACCTGCTCATCAACCTGGAAATGTCCGCTGAGTCCTTTCCATCCTCTCCTCTCCTGCCTGGGCTGTGGGGGTCTCTGAGCTGGTCACCTGTGTCCAGTCTCTCCTCCTACCCCCTGCCCCAGGCGGGTGATCCTGAGGACCCATCTGTACCCCTGGCCCCCACACTGGTGCTTCCCTTGACCCCTTAATGTCTATGAGATGAATTCTAATGTTCTGGGAGGTCTGCATGCTCCGGGTCCCACTTTTATCACAGAACTTCAAACCAGTATGTCCCAGTGTCCAGTGCCCCAGGCCGGTATGCAACTCCACATGTTGTTCTTTCTGCCAGAAATATCTTCCCTTCTCCCCATCTCTTTGTCTGGGAGAGTGAGCCAATGGGGCCCGGTGATGACCAGGGTAGCAGCCTCAGAGGAGATGTGCATCTTTGCAGGCAAGTGACATGGTGACATGCCATATTGTGGGGTTGGCAGGTGCTTGCGTGTGTGTGTGTGTGTGTGTGTGTGTGTGTGTATGTATGTGTGTGTGTAATGTGTACACCTTCGCATCTGCAGCCTGGCTCCTGGGATTACCCTGTGGCAGGAAAATCTTCCTCCTGAGCCTTGCTGTGGGCTGCAGCCCCCCAGAAAGTGCATGGTTCCTCCTTGGCCTTCCTGGCCCTGCCCCGCTGCTGGGTATCCAGTCCCACCCGCCAGAGGCCCCGGAAGGAGTTCTGAGAAGTACTTTCTGTTCACAGCCCATGGAGCTGCCAGGCTGGCCGGCGTGTGAGTTTGAGCGACTGCAATCTGTGCAGGCCGACCCGCAGGCAAGCACGGCACCGGTGACTTCTCAGTAAGCAGCAGCAGCACCAGTCTCTTGCAGCCCCATGACAGGGGTTCGGGGAGCAGCATCTTTGAAGACCTTGGCTGGGGAGCTTTCCCAGCCGGTCCTGTCTTTATCAGCCACTGTCACTCGGCAGGCGCGGAGGAGACCTCAGCCGGCCTCGCAGGGCCTGTTGTAGCCAACGTGTGGCTCCTCTGGCCAGGCGTGTGGCCGCGTCTCGTCCTCACTCCAGCCCTAGGAAGTGGAAGCTCTTATCCCCTTATGGCAGGGGTGTAGCAAGGCACCTCCTGGGGCGAATGGCAGAGCTGGAATTAAACCTGCACGCGTCTGACTCCCAAACTCTGTCCCCTTCTGCTGCACGTCTTGTCCCCAGGGCAGTCAGGGTGAATGTGCACCTGTTGCCCCATCGATGGTGTGTCAACTGCCAGATGCGTGAGTCAGGCCATCTAGATCAGCCGGCAACCAGCCGACCACAGACGCCCGAGGCAGCTCCAAGCGCTGCCTAGCTGACCCACGGGGCGGGGAGCTACACAAGTTCATGTTGTTTTGAGCCACTAGGTTCTGCGGGTTTGTCATGAAGCAAAACTGAACTGACGCTGTTGCTGTGTAACAGCCATGCCACTGCTGTGCAAACAACTCCGCTGCTTGAAACACCCACTTTGTCTTGCTCCCGGACTCGGTTAGGGATGGGGACAGGGCGCGGCAGGAGTGATGTGTCTGCTGCACGCATCTAGAGCATCGCCAGGAAGACTCGAGGGCTGATGGCTTGGGGAACGACAGCGTCTCACGCACGTCTGGGTAGTGGCGTCTCAGCGGGGGCGTCTGTGGGAGCCCCTGCACGTGGCTGTCCCCGTGGCCTGAGCTCCCCCACAGCATGGCGGCTCTGGGTCTCTTGGCTTTAATGGAGGCCGGGGGCTCCGGAGGCGAGTGGACCA